AGCAAGCCAACAATCCCCGCAAGATGGATCAGATCTGCAGATTGAGCATAATGGATCTGAGTCCGATCCATTATGCCCCCCCGATCCGCAGATCCAATCCATCTTGCGGGGATAGTTGGCTGGCAACCTATATGGGATTAACTGATCTAGGTAAGGCTGTGCAAGATCCGGGACTTGTCTGTAACCAGGAAATGCGGCCGCGATAGCAGGAACCTCCTCCATCTGACATCACTTCTCAAGCATGTGCAGACCGGACCAGTGTTGAAAGATCAGTTAACCCCGTATAGGTTGCAAGCTGACGATCCCCACAAAAATGGGACGGATCTGCGGATTGGGGAGCATAATGGATCGGACTCCGATCCATTATGCTCAATACACAGATCTGATCCATCCTGCGGGGATTGCTGGAGGGGTGACACCAAGTGTTACCGCACCGGGTGACACCAACCCTAGGGATGCCCCTGACCACAATGACTAGCTCTCATAGTAGCCTAAACCCTGTACACACAAGCCAACTATTGACTGAAATCTGCTGTTACAGTAGATAACGACCAACATTCTACCCCTTTGTACAGGTCCTTAAATGACAGAAGCCAATCTACTTTCGAACGAGCTTGCTGGAAATTCAGCAGCTGATCGACGTCCGATCAGCACTCCCAGCCAATGGCTGTGAGCACACACAGGTGTTTTCTGGCAGGGGAGCAGTCCTCCTGTCAGAACACAATAACTCAGCGGGGAGATCGCTGTACTAAAATTGCATCGTTAGGCTCCACACTACCAGGCTGTAGAAGGAAATCTCTGAAACGAATATTTTTAGACAAAAAAATGAAGCCTTGCTACCCTACCAGTGATGCATTCATAATTTTACAAAAGGAAAGCAGCCCATCAATGCATTTAGATTTTTTTCATATACTGTATACACCAAGCAGCAAAAAAGAAAACTACAAAAACAGAAATGTCTTAAAAGACTTGAGTTTGTCTGAAATATCATCATAAGATTCATAACACCAGACTCCATAAAATTAAAGCAAATATTCGACAGTTTGTTAATGGCAACATCACTAGCTTTCTCTCCTGCACCAGGGACTAAGGTGGTACAAATCTGTCTTGCACCAGTTACTGTAGGGGTACAAATCTGTACTAAAGCAGAGACTAGAGGGATATACATCTATTCTCTCTGTTAGAGACTAGGAAGGTACAAAAATCTGTCCTTAAGCAAGATACTAGAGTGATATACATCTGTCCTTCGTTAGAGACTAGGAGGGTACAAATCTGTCCTTAAGCAGAGACTAGAGGGATATACAGTCATGGCCGAAATTGTTGGCACCCTTGATATTTCTCAGGAAATCATGTATTTCTCACGAAACGTATTGCATTAACACATGTTTTGCTATACACATGTTTATTCCCTTTGTGTGTATTGGGACAAAACAAAAAAAAAGGGAGGAAAGAAAGCAAATTCGACATAATGTCACACAAACCTCCAAAAATGGCTGGACAAAAGTATTGGCACCCTTTCACAACTGCGGATAAATAAGAATGTTACAAGCATGTGATGCTCCTGTAAAACTCACCTGGGGCAAGTAACAGGTGTGGGCAATATAGAAATCACACCTGAAAGCAGATAAAAAGGAGAGACGTTCACTTAACCTTTGCATTGTGTGTCTGTCTGTGCCACACTAAGCATGGACAACAGAAGAGGAGAACGAGAACTGTCTGAGGACCTGAGAACCAAAATTGTGGCAAAATATCAACAATCTCAAGGTTACAAGTCCATCTCCAGAGAACTAGATTTGCCTTTGTCCACAGTGCGCAACATTATCAAGAAGTTTGCAACCCATGGCACTGTAGCTAATCTCCCTGGTCGTGGACGGATGAGGAAAATTGATGAAAGATTGCAACGCAGAATAGTCCGGATGGTGGGATAAGCAGCCCCAAACATGTTCCAAAGACATTCAAGCTGTCCTGCAGGCTCAGGGAGCATCAGTGTCAGCGCGAACTATCCGTCGACATTTAAATGAAATGAAACGCTATGGCAGGAGACCCAGGAGGACCCCACTGCTGACACAGAGACATAAAAAAGCAAGACTACAGTTTGCCAAAATGTACTTGAGTAAGCCAAAAGCCTTCTGGGAAAACGTCTTGTGGACAGATGAGACCAAGATAGAGCTTTTTCGGTAAAGCACATCATTCTACTGTTTACCGAAAACGGAATGAGGCCTACAAAGAACAAAACACAGTACCTACGGTAAAATATGGTGGAGGTTCAATGATGTTTTGGGGTTGTTTTGCTGCCTCTGGCACTGGGTGCCTTGACTGTGTGCAAGGCATCATGAAATCTGAGGATTACCAAAGGATTTTGGGTCGCACTGTAGGGCCCAGTGTCAGAAAGCTGGGTTTGCGTCCAAGATCCTGGGTCTTCCAGCAGGACAATGACCCCAAACATACGTCAAAAAGCACTCAGAAATGGATGGCAAAGAAGCGCTGGAGAGTTCTGAAGTGGCCAGCAATGAGCCCAGATCTAAATCCCATTGAACACCTGTGGAGAGATCTTAAAAATTGCTGTTGGGAAAAGGTGTTCCTTCCAATAAGAGAGACCTGGAGCTGTTTGCAAAGGAAGAGTGGTCCAAAATTCCGGGTGAGAGGTGTCAGAAGAGCTTATTGATGGTTATAGGAAGCGACTGATTTCAGTTATGTTTTCCAAAGGGTGTGCAACCAAATATTAAGTTAAGGGTGCCAATACTTTTGTCCAGCCCATTTTTGGGGTTTTGTGTGACATTATGTCATATTTGCTTTTCTGCCTCTGTTTTATATTTGTTCCAATACATACAAAGGGAATAAACATGTGTATAGCAAAACATGTGTTAATGCAATACCTTTTTTTTGTGTGAAATACTTGATTTTCAGGAAAAATATCAAGGTGCCAACAATTTCGGCCATGACTGTACATCTGTCCTTCGTTAGAGACTAGGAGGGTACAAATCTGTCCTTAAGCAGAGACTAGAGGATATACATCTGTTCTTTGTTAGACACTAGGAGGGTACAAATATCAGAGACCTGTGGTCCACTGATCTAACTTGCCCCAGAGATCAGAGAGGCACAGATATGTCCTATTACCAGAAACTAGAAGGGTACTTTGATATATTTTTACATTGTAATCAAATCCCCCATAAAGTGCCTCTTCTCCAGAGTGATAAACTGTTATCTGTGTAATCAATCCTCATACTGAAATCCTCCAACCCCCTTATTAGTTTTTGTTGTCCTTCACTGAACTCTTTCTAATTCAGGTATGTCTTTCCTGAGGACTGGTGACCAAAACTGAGCTGTACATTTAAGATGAGGCTGAACCAGTGTTTTGTAAAAGGGTACAATGATTGATTTATCTCTGGAATATATGCCTTTTTTGATGTATGACAGTATTTCTTAGCTTTGGTAGCTGCGGTTTGGTATTGCATGCTATTGCTAGGTCTGTGAAGTACAAGCACCCCAGATCTTTTTCCATCACAGATTCTTGCAGGGCAGACCCCATCTTCCCCAGTGAGTATGTTTGGGACCCGAATACATAAATTTACATTTCTCAGTTTTGGACCTCATCTGCCATGAAACTGTCCACACCCTTACTTTATTAAGGTCTTCCTGTAATGATGCTTTGTCCTGTGCCAAATGTATTCCCCAACATCATTTATATCATAAGCAAACACTGAAATTGCCTATCTGTTCTTTCATAACCTTTTAACTGTTGATATATTTGAAAACATTTTTGGGAGTTATTTTACTTGCTGTAGCAATGTGCTTCTCGTATTCTGTTTAAGCCTCTCTGATTCACCAGCAGTGCCTTTGTCCTCTGTTTTGCGGAGAGTTGATATGTTATGCTCATGGACAGGGGCGGACTGACAACTCATGGGGCCCCGGGCAAGAGGGGATCATGGGGCCCGTATCCTTGCCCAAACTCAAAAAAGCCTATGAAAAAGGTACCAGGGGCATCTCATGGGGCCCTCTACTGACCCTGGGCCCTCGGGCAGTGCCCGAGTTTTTAAAAGGTCAGTCCGCCCCTGCTCATGGTACGTATTCAATATACAGTGCTAGATGGGAAGCAATTATTCAACAGAAAATGGGATGGTTGGAAGACATTTCGGCATTTATTGGTAGAATGATGGGTTATCGTAGATTTATTGGCATTGTATCTTTGTTGGTTGTGTAGTTGTTCTGCATATTTTACTGCCTACCTCATTCATTTACTCAAACTTTCTTTTTCTGTTTTGTAATACAGTTTTTTACTTAGTTGCCTTTTTTCTCTATGTATGCTATACCTCATGAAGTGGTGTTGTTTTTGTTGCTTATCTCTCAATAAAAACATTTGTAAACAAAGCCTCTCTGATTGCTCCCTTGTATTATTTTGTTGCATTACTTTTACATCTGGAATGTCAAGGGTGTCCCTTCTACTTCTAAAGGCCTGTTTTTCTTATTTATTTTTTTTACAGTAGAATTTAGCCACATAGGTTTGAGTTTTGTTTGTTACCAGATGGAAAACAATGACTAATGTCCTTTTTTAACCACTTGCCCTCCAGAGGATTTACCCGCCCTCCTTCCTGACCAGGCCATTTTTTGCATTACGGCACTGCGTTACTTTAACTGACAATTGCGCGGTCATGCAATGCTGCACCCAAATGAAATTAACGTTCTTTTTTTCCACGAATAGAGCTTTCTTTTGGCAGTATTTGATCGCCTGTGCATTTTTTATTTTTTGCACTATAAAAAAAAACAGACTGACAATTTTGAGAAAATTTTTTTTTTTGACTTTTTGCTATTAAACATGTCCAGTAAAAAAAATAAAATTTTGTCATAAATTTAGGCCAAAATGTATTTTGCTACATGTCTTTGCTAAAAAAAAAATCCCAATATGTGTAAATTAATTGGTTAACCTGAAAATTATAGTGTTTGCAAATGGTGGTATATATACTGGGCTTTTATTTTTTCTAGTAATGGAGGCGATCAGTGACTTATAGTGGGACTGCGGCGGACATGCTGACACTGGGGGGAAATTACTTGGTGTCATTGACATCACCGAGTGACACCAATACAGTGATCAGTGCTAATAAAAAGCACTGACACTGTACTAATGGCACTGGGCAGGAAGGGGTTAAAATGTGGGCGATCAATGTGTTATGTGCTGTGTGCCGTTTTACTAAGTGTGCTGTGTTAGTGCTTTACTGTAAGCACACTGCTTTGCACAGCCATGCAAAGCAGTGTGCAGGATCTGACAAGGGAGAGACCTGTTTTGTTTACTAACAGTTCTTTCCCCCCCCCCCCGGTCTGAGATGCTCGGCAATCACCGAGCGCCGGCGAGTAATCACCAGCCGGGGACCCAGTGATTGACAGCCACAGCTGTGAATGGCGGCGCGAGTAGGGCACGCATGCGCCCCCTACCCAGAAATGCAAAATCATGTATATATACGTGATTTTGCACACAGCTGCCGCCCTCTAGCAGTATTTCTTCTGCTATGGGGTGGCGCTAAAGCAGTTAATATAGGTTTACAACACACCCACTTGCCTTGTGTTTCTTTGTTGCAAATATTTGGTCCCTTTAAATGTCAAGCAGTAAGGATTGCAGCTTATGGAAGTTAGCTTTTTGAAATTGAGTGTACCTGTCATTGCAATATGCATTGCTTTCCTGTAATCTATTGCAAATGTGTTTCAACCATGAGCAGTATTACCCAAGTTATCGCTGCCTTGCACATCAATAATGAGCTCTGTGATGTTTGAAATAAATGGATCCAACAAAGCATTTATCCTCTTTGGGGATTCCACCATATGTTCCATGTGTAGCGATAGCCCTGCAGGGGCTGCTTTATAATGCTTGTCCAAAGAAGACCGGAAAATGACAGTCCCGATGTAGAGACACTGATGTGATCTCGGTGTGATGATTGGTGTCACCACTGTGCTAAACTGATGTGCAGAGTCCCACAGCAGTAGGCCAGCAATCTGTCTCTGGAGGGAGAAACACTGTCCCCCTGTGTTCAGCTCTCAATCCCACGCCAAAGAGAGAGAGACAGTACCTTGCTGTAGAAGATATCTGCTTTCCCAGCATCGTCCTCTTTCGCCAGCTCTCTGGTGGTTGTAGTTCAATCAGTACTCAGGATAACAGGATGCATTGGCTATAGGACTACAGGTCCCAAGATCCTCTATTGTCAGGAAAAACTGAATCCACTCTGCTAACAAGAAGTGATGTAGCAGTCCCAGTACTGGGCACTAGGGGGAAAAGGGTGTGTTTTAAGACACTGTGTTAAACACACAAAGTGCCATGCTTCACTCAATATACAAAAAACTTTATACAAAAAAATTATCATAACTTATACAAAGACAAAACAAAATTGTAATATTAAATTATAAGTGCTGAGTCCTCAGAAACTGCATTTTTTATGTCACCCCCCACAAGTTTTCTATTGGATTAAGATCCGGAGATTGGGCAAGCCACTCCATAACGTCAATCTTGTTGGTCTGGAACCAAGATGTTGCACGTTTACTGTGTGTGTTTGGGGTCGTTGTCTTGTTGGAACACCCATTTCAAGGGCATTTCCTCTTCAGCATAAGGCAGCATGACCTCTTCAAGTATTCTGGTGTATTCAAACTGATCCATGATCCCTGGTATGCGATAAATAGGCCCAACACCGTAGTATGAGAAACATCCCCATATCATGATGCTTGCGCAACCAGGCTTCACTGTCTTCACAGTGTACTGTGGCTTGAATTCAGTGTTTGGGGGGGTCGTCTGACAAACTGTCTCCGGCCACTAGACCCAAAAAGAACAATCTTACTTTCATCAGTCCACAAAATGTTGTGCTATTTCTCTTTAGGCCAGTCAATGTGCTCTTTGGCAAATTGTAACCTCTTCAACACATGTCTTTTTTTCAACAGTGGGACTTTGCGGGGGCTTCTTGCAGATCGTTTGGCTTCACATAGGCGTCTTCTAATTGTAACAGTACTCACAGGTAACTTTAGACCTTCTTCGATCTTCCTGGAGCTGATTGTTGGCTGAGTCCTTGGCATTTTGGCTATTCTTCTATCCATTTGAATGGTAGTTTTTTGCTTTCTTCCACGTTTTTCAGGTTTTGGTTGCCATTTTAAAGCATTTGCGATCATTTTAGCTGAGCAGCCTATCATTTTCTGCACTTCTTTATATGTTTTCCCCTCTCCAATCAACTTTATAATCAAGGTACGCTGTTCTTCTGAACAATGTCTGGAACGAACCATTTTCCTCAAAATTTCAGAGAGAAATGCACTGTAACCAGCATGTACAACATTTGCTGCCTTCCTTCCTTAAATAAGGGCAATAATTGCCACCTGTTTTTCAAAAAATGAATGACCTCACTAATAGAACTCCACGCTGCTATTATTTTGAACATGCCCCTTTCAATTAGTGATTCAATTACACAGAATCAGCAGCATGCATGTCATGACTGTTGGGTCTGTTGGATTTCTATTACTCTACTACACCTGCTAGTAAATTATTTGCCATGTAGAAATATAATTTCTACCAAAAACAGTGATTGATCAGGTTAGTGATGTCTGACTGCTATTATTTTGAACACAACTGTATATATAAAAGTCCAATTCCGTGCTTGTGTTTCACAGTAATAATTCAAATCCTGTGCAAGAATAATATGCTTCTTCTATGTGTGAACACCATAACACCCTTCAGTGTTCCTCCACCACTGGCACACTTATGCTCTCACCTCCTTGTTTGACCCATAATAATAGGTCAAACACACTTTTCCCTTTCACCTGGGCAGGTATGTCTTTAAGTATAATCCTTCTCCACACTCTCCTCCATCAGCTCTTTGTTATCGTTTTCCACTGTATTCTCCGGTGTCATGCAGAGAGAAAAACGCTATACATAGTGTAGTCAGTAAACTCACCAATAAGTTTATTTAAAAAGAATGCACTCACTATAAAAATGTGTCCTATTGGAACACTGCAGTAGGTAAGCTCTTAGCAAATACTTCAGCATTTTCTGGGTCGCTCACAAAATGGTGGCTTGGAAACTTCCAGTTTGCGGCTTGACATCATCGGCCCACCCTACGAGTTACGTCACACTGGAAGTTTACGAGCTGCCATTTTGAGCACAACCCAGAAAATGCTAAAGTATTTGCTGAGAGCTTATTTACTGCAGCCACCAGGAGTGCATGTAAATCTAATAAGCCAACTGTCGGCTGTCAGAAGGAAGAGATCTGGTGACTGTGCAGCCACTAGATTGCTTCCACTCACATCCCTATATGTTGATCTCCTGCACATGCACCCTCTCCATATTTCTCTCTGCATGTGGCATGTCAGGTGTCACTGGGTAGAGGGGAGGGAGATCAGTGAATGTCCATTTTCTGATTTCCACTTCCTGCTAATAACATGGAAGCAATGTTTAAAAAGTCAGTTCCGGGTCCTGGTGCCATTTTTCCCCAGCCAATATGGCTGGGGAAGAAGCTGAAGGAATTCGAACTACACTTCATTAGCTTCATTGGGGGGCAGGTGAGACATCAGGGGTCTTTTAGATCTCTGATGTCTCATTAAAGAGAACCTGTCACCAAAAATGCATCACATAGGGGAAAAAAAATTATGCCCGCAGCGTAGCACTATGGTGGTGAGTCACACAGCCATTCTCACTCGAGCATGTTTTGACATGTTATAACTTACACCCGAAATAGGCATATATGAAATATGCTTTGCCACAACTTACACTCGCCTGGGTTGTGGACCAGTTGACTTAGTCTTTTTTGGTGTAGTAGAAGAAATAACGTGTGTGTGTGTGTGTTGCGCTGTTGGAGGAAAATGAGTGACAGGAATCTGGAGCAGTGGATTAACATCAAATTTGGCAAAAGTGCAGGTGAAACTTTAGCTCTATTACAACAGGCTTATGGCTAAGAAGTGCGCAGCCAAAATTGCAAGGGACAGAGGCAAATGTGGACAGATAGCAAACCCTTGCATGCTCAGATTGAAGACTGAGTTTTCAAAATGATGATAGAAGAATTGAACATGAACAGGGAATTGGTGCGTCAGATTCTAACGGAGGATTTGGAAATGAGAAAGATTTACGCAAAGATGATACTTTGAATCTTGACAGAAGATAAGAAAGAACGTCCCACTACCTCGTATGGGGCTCCAGCTTACTTCTTCTGATGTGCTCACTTGGTATTTTTTATCAACATCTGGTCTCTTGGTCACAATGGTAGCTCCTCCAGAGCAGTCAGGTGCCATCTTCTTGTGCTTGTCTAAAATTATCTGCTTGGCCCTTTGCATCTGCTCCCAATGTTTTTTTCACCCAAGAATTGGGTGTCCAGGGTGGGAGGTGTTCCTGGTTTCCCAGCCATATTGCCCGAATGTTAGGAAAAAGGGCATGTGGCCAGTGGACAGTGTTGTTGTAGGCCTACACCATGGCTCCCACGTGTTGGTGCCACCTGTCTCTGTAACTCAGTTCCATAATTCCCAACAGTGTGCGGGTGAACTGCTCACAGACTCCATTGCCTGAGGGTGATAAGGGGTGGTGTGGGACATCTGGATGCCAGTGATGCACTGAATCATTGACTCATAGTTTGGGCCTTGGTCCGAAAGGATCCGCTTTGGGCAGTCACAGGGCTGGATGATGTGCTCCAGAAAAGCTTGGCAGTGGTGACACTTGTTTGGTCCTGGGTAGGCACAAATTGTGGTAAAGTGATCAACAAAAACCAGTGCATACAGATAGCCAGAGGGCACGCTGGATATCATCAGAAAGTCCATGGTTACCAAGTTGAAAGGTTCAGAGATGATGAGTGTCATGGGTGTTGTCTTCTCTGAGGAAGTCTTGTGTATCGTGCAACTCCGGCATTCCTGGCAAGCTTTGTGCACCCAGTCCGACAAGTGGGGAGAGAAGAAACATCTCTGAAGCAGTGACTTAGTTCAATCTGCCGCAAAATGGCTGCCTTCTGCGTACAGCACCCGACAGATTTGTAAAATATGCGACTAGGGGACCACAATTTGGAGGATATCCCACTGTTCGGTAGGGATGCATGCCTAAAGGTAGAGTATCTTGTCCCACAACTCAAGGCAATACCATTGCCTTAGGATAGCTGAGTTACGGGAGACAACTTCTGGCACTCCTGGGAAGTAGACTTGTGTCTTCAGGAGAGGTAGTCCTCCACCTTTATCAGGTCCGGGTCTTTTTGTTGAATCAGCACTCATTCCTCTCGACCAAAGAGTTTGGCAGCATTGGCCTGTGGGCCAGGGTCCTGCTCCTCGATGGTGCATGAGGCTGCTGATATAGGCAGGACAGGAGTGACCACTAGAGTCCACATCCTCCCCGGACACTCCAAGGGAATGGGGACAGAGTGTTGGCATGCCGTTAAGCTTTCTTGGCCAGTAGTGGATCTTGAGCTTAAACAGTGCCAAGCGGGCAGTAAACCACTGTTCCAGTGCCCCCA